ACTGCATTTGACATCTCGGATCCAAACTCAGGGCCGACCTGCATGGCATTCTCGGCCACCATCGGTCCGACACGGATGATGCTGCTGCTGAAATCCGCTGGCACGGCCCGGTGCAATGATGACTCGGTAACCACGTGATAGAACTTGCAATCATTGCCACTCATATCGAAGTAGTCTTGCAAGTTGGGCGAAAAATCAGCCAACGGCCTTTGGAAGATCTTTTCCCAAACAGGTCCCTGTTGCTTCTTCCAATTCCGCAACATGAGTGTCATACAAACATACCAGCCCAGGCTTGCACGAATTCCAGGCCGAGTTGATAGCGGCGGACAGGGGATGGAGCTGCTGGCAACGAATCCAGTTTGCAGGCTGATGTGGATGCGAGGTATCCGCAGAATCACACTTATGGCATACATATTGCAGGCCGGTAGGAGGGAGTGCAGGAGTAACTCAGGCTTGAACTGCAGCGCTGCCTCATGGATCGCCTCGCATTGCTTGAAAAGCCAGCCTTCTGGACGACATTCCTTCTCCACCTCTACCATCTGAGCAACGTTCTGAGTCACCATGCTGTCGACGAACTTCTGGTCAGTCAATGTCTCCTTTTGGCCCCACTGCATCACTTTGAAGGGGACGCCGAAAGCTTCTGCCAGGTCTGTTGCCTCCTCACAGCCAAGCGCCAGAACGTCAAATCCGGAACGGATGAGTTCTCTGGCCATGACCAGGTATGGCTGGTTGTCTCCGCGACTGCCGTCGAAAGCCATCATTATGCGACGGCCCATGGCGCTGTCACTTTGCGGTTGTCTGGTCGCTGAGAGGTTGGGGAAGGAGCCCGATGACTTGAGCCGTAACCATGAGGTGTAAGGTTTTTTTGGGGGGCCTCTTGGGTTTAGGCCCTTTTTCAGAGGCTTTAGTGGGGCTCCGCAGTCTCACAACTTGGCAAGAACATGCCAGGCTGATTCTACCAACTCCGACCAGCCTCCGCCTTCGTCGCTTCAGGGGTCTCCGATTGGAGCAGCTCAGGCCTGCGAAAACCGTCGTGTCTAGAGTCTAGAGATTCGGAAGACGAATCGCAGGCATATGGTCTAAAAAACAATAAACAACGGAGCTGATGTCTAACAACAGCAGCGACATCGCCATCGCGCCACGAATCGGTATCATCGCCATGCCGCTGGCAACTTACCAAAATTTGTGCACAATATGAAGTACCTGCGAAGAGCAATCACACTCCCCCCCTCCACAGGGTTCTTGGCAGTCTCAACCCGTGAGACATTGATTGACTGCTGCCCGTGCTCTGTTAGGCTCCGTGCGCATTGAGCAATGGTAGCTCTTCCACCTTTGCACCTGTGGGCAGCATGAAGCTTCAGGCAGGGCTCCACAAGAGTGCGCGCTTCATTGTGAAAGCTTTGGGCGGCACCAGATCCAACTGCACGTACGTTGGGCATGGCTGCTTGGTGCTGATGGAGGGGACGAGCCTACGCTTGCTGGGAAGCTTTCTTTCACAAGGGACTCGACTGCTGCCCTTACTGACGGTTGAGAAGATCTCACAAAAGAGTGCGATGCTCTTGTCGAACTGCTGGTGCTGTCTAGGGGGCGGCTGTAGGCACTTCCGACAAAGGTTGCACATGCATGCAAGATCATCTTGAATGGGGAAGGAAGACCGGTTACGAGCGAGAGCTGCACCACACCTCTCTCAAGACATGCGCACTAGCCTCGTCGTTGCCGGCGCACCACACAGAACCCACTTGCACCCGACTAAAAATCACGAAAATTATTCTGCGTCTGCTTGCCATAGTGGCGAATATCCAAGAACAGGATTAGATAGATACTCATGAACTCTAGCTCGAGGCCAGGCGATTGCCAGACAGATGGGGCGTTTTGGGCTGGACAAAAGGGCTGGTCCATGCTCTGACACTCGGACTATCTGGGATTCCGCCGAATGAGATCACGATTGGTCAGTGTGAAACACCAAAAGTGGGCATAGGACCCGTCCTGAGTCCAAAACCCCACAGAATCCCTAAGACCTTCTAATGGAAACTTGCTGTCACCGAAGTGTCAAGGCCTCTTTGCTGACAACGTTCGCTTCCGGGTCGCCCATTCTCAGTTGGCGAATCTTCGTTCTCTGGAGCTGTCGGACCACCCGGGTCATCTCCTCCAAGAGACCACGCACCTCCATGTTTAGCGTGTCGAGCCCGGTGCCCTCGAATGCCGAAACCTGGAGGGCGTCGGGATAACGAAGCAAGAGAGACTTGATGTTCTCCTCGGTCTCCTCCTCCTCGACATCGATCTTCGTGATCACGTCTAGCCAAGGCCTTCGGGGGAACTTTGCCCTCAAAGCTTCACGCAGCTTCACTTGCTTCTCCACGTCAAGCAGCCCATGCGTGTACGGGTACGGATCGAAGACGAAGACCACAGCCGTCGGAAGGTGCTCCATGGAACCCATGGTAAGCTTGTCCATGAGGTTGTGATCTCCACCAGAAGTCCTGAGGCCGGGCGAGTCAACGATCTGACCGTGGATGAGGAGCGGTGTTCCGGCGATGAAATGCCAAAGGTGGCCGATGGTCAGCTTCTTTGTGGTGTAGGGGTAGCTGTTCACCTCCGGCCGGCCTGTGGAGATCGACCGCACCAACGAGGATTTGCCCACGTTTGGAGCCCCAACAAACACAACCGTGGGCTTATCCAGATCGATGCTCGGGGATTTGAAGATGGCACGCTGACAGCCGATGAACTGTTGGAAGACGGGCTCCCAGTCCGTCACCAAGTCAAAAATCTCCTCGATGCCCTCGTCGGCGATGAACGTCGCGAGCCTCCCGCGTTCCGCCTGCATGCTTCCGGTGGCACGGTACGTGCCGAGCTCGTGAATCTGGCGCCGCAGGTCCTTGAGACAGGCCAGAGCTTTCCCAAAGGCCACGCCTGTCTTGTTCCAGTGTTGCGTAAGCGCCAGCTCCACACTCAAGCGCTCGAACGGATGCAGCTGCCTGATCAGGCGAGGATACTGGAGGACCGCCTTCAACTGCCGATTCATGTAGTTCCTCACAAACTTCACCCGGTCTGAACCGTAGACCCTGAATCTTTGACGGATGTCCATGATATGATGTTTGATTTTCACCTCTTGGCGGGTGGTGATCTCTTTTCTGCACTGGTTGACCATGTCGATTGCGGAGGTGAGCTCCTGGATCTGCCGTATCTCGGTCAGGGAACCAAGGATGGGCTCGTCGGAGTAGTCGTAGATGGCATCTTCCCCGAACTTTCCGCCTACACCATCGTAGACCTCTCTTTGCTGCGGATCGCTGAGCCATCGGAAAGCCTCCTGGGCCTGGATAAAGACTTGTGCAGCATCTTCGGACGGGTTCACGTCCGGATGCGTCTCACGGATCACCCGCTTGTAGGCAGCTCGGATTTCATCCTGTGAGGCGAGCTTGTCCACACCTAGCACTTCGTAGAAGTTCACGCCTTTGGGAAGATCATCCGAAAGACGGACCCTTTTGTACTGCTTCGTCGCTGCCAAGCGTGTCCTCCGTGGACGGTGCGAGGAGGAGCCTCCTATGTGGCTCAGCACTGCCACGAAAGAGCCAGCTGCCACAAACACTCCACCGAAGCCAGGTGACCCATGTCCTTCGCGTTCCCAGGCTGGGCTGAGCCATGACCGGCAGTCGGCTGCACCAGTCGATTCGGCGAAAGTCGGGTGCCTCGGGGTGACAGGATCAGCGACGCGGCCGAGCATGGCAAAACGAGGCCAGAGTTCGCAGTATCGTATGCGCTCGTCGTAGGGGCAGTGCTCACCACATGGCCCGTTAGTTGCCAGTTCTTTGGTGATTGGTGGGTGTGGCGGAGGATCAAACGCTCGCGATTGGGAGGTTCCGATAAGATCAAGCACCATGTTGTCTACCTCGTTGTGATATTCTTCGGTCTTGCTCGACGTCTACTATGAGGAGCTTCAGACGTGCTTGAGCCTTCGCCATTATTTGAGGTTTGGTTCGGGGCTTCAGAAAATTGTCGCTAGGTTGCACCAAGGTCTGGGTTTCGTTTTTCTTGCATCAAGCGAGTTCGACTTGCCCGGAGATGTTCGGCCCTGCGTGGCGGTCAGTTACAGCGACACCTCACTTTGCTGAAACTTTCTCTTCAGCCCCCGCCAGCTCCCAGCTTCGCCCTCAGATGTCAGAGCTGTCAAGCCCCGGGTCTCAGACGACCGTTGCGGCGTGCAAGAGCTAATTTGTACCTAAAAGCCGGGGGGCTTCTGCCGAATCATCTGTCTCGGCTCGTACAGATGTGGTCTCCCTTGTGCTTGGTTTTCTAAGATGTGTGGCACTCCTCGTCGTCCAGCTCGACGGCAGAAATCAGGTTTCCCGGCAAGGTGTGATTGACCTTAGTTCTCTCTCTCCACATATCACCGAACACCTCCGGCTAAACCCTAAGCCCCTAAGCCCCAAAAAGCATGCAGAACAGAGCAGCTTTCTACGGTGCCAGCCAATATCTCGGCCCCTGAGTCGATTCTCTCACCTCTCAAACCCCTACGTCTTCGTAGCGGTCGCTGAAACTAGAAAAGCGCACCACCACGATCCTGGAGAGACAACGCTTCACAACCCATCTTGGTCCGAAAGTCTCCATGTCACGTCGATCGCAACTTTTTGGAACGCACGACCATCCTTGTGGGGTCCATAAACTGAATTCTTCAAACCAGGAGTCATCAGCTAAAGGCGATGTAGCTTCTAGGGCTCAGGGTCTCCATCATCTGGGCACTGCGGGCACCAGGTCGTGTCTTGCCCACTGCAGCCGCAGGATTCCGGACAAAGCCAAGCGCCGGTTCGGAGGCTCATGGGGAAACTATCACCGCCAAACGCTTCAACTGGGTCCGGCTTGCATATCAACATGTCCAACATATCTATCTCCTGCAAGAAGGCGCAGTCAGCAAACTCCAGCATACTGACCATCTTTGACATATTCGTCATATCCGTCATGTTCGGCGCCATGGAAGTAATTAACCGACCCCAGTCACGCAAGTACCGTGCCCAGGCCTCTGATCGAGTGTCGTTGACGTTCCACGTTGAAAAGTCAAGACAAGAAGCATTCTGTCGACTTGCTTTGAAGGCTGGCTCATTCTGACACTTGTGCCGGCATCCAGTGTCCATGAACAGCCCACTGTCCACTGCAGTGCAGCCACATGTCTCTGGGCAGGCCATGCGCACGAGTGGATAGTTGCTGTTGTCACAGAAGCGCTGCGCTTCGGAGCAGTTTTTGGCACCGGTCATGGCTGTAAGGGCCGACCACTCCCAGGCCAACTCGGAAGGGAGCTCATCTTCACAAGAGACGCCAAAGGCGATGTTATCGTCTGGCGCTGTCACAGCCGTGAGCCCGATGAATGTCGTAAAGATCTGCTTGAGCCTCTTTGGAGCAACCTGGGCCACCACCTGGCGATCCGCCAGATGCGACCTCCAAAAATATGAGTCCACATCTTTGGGGTCGTATTTCGTAACCACCTCTTCAACCAGTGAACGAATCCCAGGCTGCCAGTTCCCACGTTGGATGTCGAAGGGCTTGGTATCCATGACCATGATGGGCCCAAGTTGTGGGTCGGAAGAGTACACGAAGTCTTTGTTCCCTCCGCAGAGAATGTCCTTGGCTGTCTTGGCCTGGATAGCATTTATGCAGACGGTTTCCTGGATGAAGATCACTAGCGCCGCGATGATCATGATGAGCCGGAGAATACAGGCTACGTCAACTCCGGCCCATGTCTTTCGAGGGCCGAGCTGGAGCGTCCGAACAGAGGAGAGGTACTTGGTGGTGTGTCTGGATGCTACGACTTTCCACAAAAGCTCATCAATCTCCAGAATGAACAATAGGGCGACGGCATTCAGCATGATATTAGTGACATCTCGGGTGTGAGCAAGCCAAAGGCCTCCAGAAATTCCCAGCGTCACTGCGATCCCCAAGCGTGCCAAGACAGTGAAAGACACCGCCGTGCGCCGCAAACGACTGACACTCTCAAAGACTCGCTCGTCTTCGCTCACCATGCTTATGACCGTGTTGCCCCCCGGAAGCCGGTATATGGACCAGGCAAACCTTCCCGCATCTTGCAGCTCGGCAGCAATGTAGCAGACCCAGATTGCCAGTGCGACGCTGGACAGGACCACCCCAACACTCAGGTCAGGAAACATGCCTGGGAACACGGGATCCAGGTAGGCGTCCACTTCATCCAGCAGCGAACTGTGCCACCATTCTCGCTCAAAGAGAGCCCCACCACAAATCTTGGACACCAATGAGGCACCAGAGGAATCCATGTTGGCGTAATTGTGCCCATAGAGGACGCGCCAAGTCTTCAAATGCTGTATGTCATACTTGGGGTCGCTGCTCAGGAAAGAAGTCAAGACGATCCATACGAAGAGAAGTTGAAGCCCGAAGCTCGCAAGGACGCCAAAGGTGATGACAGCACTTCCAGCCGGGCCGATCTCGTCCAGACCTGCCAGCAACAAAGCATCCCAGAACGACTCTTGAAGCGGGTGATCGGATTCCGTGACAATGACCGATTTGTGTGTGATCTTTCGTGACTTCCGCGTTTGAAACTGCTCCGTCTCGGTCTCACTGGGACCGGGAAGCATCCCCGCTTCGAGTCGCTGCGCATCGCTGATGTCGTGCTCTGGTACAACATGGCCTTGCCCCTTGCTGACAGCGATTTGCTCCTGGATCTCTCCAGTCTCAAGCCTTGCAAGGCGGTCATTGAGCACCCGGAGCTCCTGGTGGATCCCGGAGGTCTCGAGCTTCACAAGGCGATCGCTCACCACTCGGAGCTCCTCCTGCAAACCTTCGATTCGTCGAAGTAGCTCGTTTGCAGATTCCTGCGCCATCGGCTCTGGCTTGGCCAGGACCAGATGCGCGAGGAGCTTTGGACTTTGGACGTGTGCCAAAGAATCTTCGAGCAGACACTCCGCGGCTTTCAGGGTTCATTATAGTCTAGGTGTTGCTGACTTTTCCGGCAATCCGTGCTGTGCATACACTATACATCACCATGCGAGTCCTAGTTCGTGGGGACCTGGCATGTGGGGCGTAACCTCAAGTTCACGTCTGATCGCCATGGCGCACACTCAAAACATGGAGTATATGAGTACATGACTCATTGTTCATTCGTCTCGAAGTCAGCACCGTACGTTGACAAGTCCTGTCTCCAGCATTGCTTCCAGCATTGCTACGTGGCTGTCTCGCAGCCTGCACTGGACCTACACCCCTCTTCCAACTCGAAATGGCAGGCATCCTGCTTCTCCAGCTTTTGCAGCGGCTGCAAGACTCACACAGCGCGAACACAAAGACTGATTCTACAGACTGCCGGTGCAGACATCCACGAAATCCGCGCACTGCGACTTGAAACTGAGAAGGTCGCAACGATGACAATCAAGTCATACTACACTACACCTGCACTACTACGAGACACCACACCAATTAAAGTCGTTCTCGGTCCTGACTCTGGAAAACGACCGAACTGAGGACAGGGTCAGAAGACGAAAGAATGCGTCAATGGTCCCGAGGACATCAGCTCGAGACCTGGCACGCTTTGTTGTAAAGGATTTGAGGGTTTGGGTCGTGGAGTTTAGATGATTTTAGATGGGTTTGGTTCCTGGCTGAGTGTAGGCTTCCGCCACGCGGGGTTTCTAGGTGGGCGCCCCGAAGGGTGGAAGTCCAAACGCAACTGGCGAGTGGTCACGGAAAAAACTCCCCTGCCTGCCAAGTCTATCGAGAGCGTTAGTGTTTCGTTCGGGCTCGAGCTGAGCTTACGCAGAGTCTTCGGCGCTCACTCTCGGCATGAGGTGAAAAGGACCCAGCACTGCCAAAACTCCTGCTAGCTATATTAAACTAGCCACGTGAGTACATGACCACTGCAGTATCAGTCATTGCCATAGCATGTCGAGACGGGATGCTGCAAGTGGGCAATGACTGAAAAAGAGATCATCCCGATCCTTGTTGATCAAGGCTGTGCATGTGGTTTGCTTTCAACCACATCAGGCATCTGTACCCAGCAATTACCGGGTCCGTGGTGCAAAACAATGACACTTTGTCATTGCGAGTGGGGAGGCACGGCGGGTTTCTCCCTTCACCACATCTGGAAGCTTGCTGCGAGGATGAAAGCTAGTGCTGGGAAAAGAACCGCAGCTGCCGACGTGTTGCCCCCGTCCTCGTCCGATTGAGAGCTCGTGGTCGTCGTAGTCGTGTTCGCTGCAGTTGTCGTAGACGACGTGTTTGCAACTGGATCTGTTGTTGTCGTCGTGGTCGTGGTAGTCGTGGTAGTCGTGGTCGTGGTCGTGGTCGTTGTAGTTGTAGTAGTTGTAGTAGTTGTAGTAGTTGTAGTTGTTGTCGTTGTTGTTGTTGTCGTCGTGGTCCCAGCAGACACCATCACCTCTTCAGCGTACCACATCTCATCGATGCTGCCACCAGCACCACACAAAGCACGGAACGTGACATCACCAGAGCCTGGTGCCGTCCACCCGTGTTGCACGCTCGTGCTCTTCCCCGTGCTGTCGGAGACCATGCCGTTGCCGCTGCTGAAGGTTCCACCATTGGACACCAGCTTCTGTCCCAGTGCAGTGGTCGAGGTGACTGTCACCATGTATGACAGTCCAGGGGTGTAGCCCCCGCTGGGAACATCTGTGGAAATCTTGCAGGTGTCGCCCGACGTAGCTCCTATGTTTGCGACACCCATGAACCCGAAGGAGCTTCCAGGTGTGTAGCCGCCCACACATGTGAAGTCGCAATTCATGGACCCCGGGTATGCAGCCGACGGGAGTAAGAAAGACAGAAACCCTGCACATCGCAAGGCAACCATGGTGCCAGACTTCACGTTCCCGCAAAGGATCCCAACTCGGAAAGTGTCAGGCTTGAGCCGTCGCCGCAGACTAGTTCTCATTTGAGGCAGCACACGGTCGCCCTAGACCGCCAAAGTGCGACAACACCTTCTGCATCTGGCCTCCCCTCGAAAATGCCTCCTATACGGTAAACCCCACCATCACGCACAGACCCAAGCACAGCTGCGAGAGCTTCCCAGCTGCGCCTTGGCGGCCTCGTCGGAGGTACTTGCAGAAAAGCTCTTTACCCCTCCCTCTTTCATCGACAACTTGCGAGAATTCGAAGGCTGAGGAGTTGGATGGTTCTCCATTCTGCAGAATGTGAATAGCGAGGACCGCTCGACCGTAAGCCTGTTTCCAACCACCAGAACCTGAGTTTCCTGGCTTGCTGCCTTTGCAGGCCTTAACGCTGACAAAGGACACCCCGATTTTCGCAGCTTAAGATGTAAGACTTCAAAACGGAGCAACACTGCTTACTGGGTCGGTCGTTCTTTTTTGCTCCTCCGTCTTTCTCTGGGCTTAGGACACCTTCGACACCCCCCACGCCAGAGCCAGAGGCTCGTTTCAGGTTTTACTTGTCAGAGGGCCTCCAGAGGCATGTCGTATTGTCTCGTGTACATGACACGGTCCCTTAGGAAGACATTCTTTCTCTCCCAGTCTCCCCTCTCATGATGTCGGCGATGGCAACGAAAGGCATCAGGATCGACAGGGTGCACTGAGATTGATGAGCTGCCGCACTCTGTCGGCTTTACTGATTCACTTCAGCTGCTGGCATGAACCTGATTATAGACTTGATGTAACAGATAACATATGACACATGTCAGACTATAGCAATGTATAGAGATCCAGATACAACATGGCCTCTAGCAAATGTAACATTCCGTAGGAATCTATAATAAAGCAATATAAAGTATAACATTCTACAACATTTTAAAACATATGAATTGACATGATTGAGCTACCTGTGTCGTTATAGAGCGGGTGGCAGTGGATGTGGGTGCCGTGGGCGCGGGATGGGTGTGGGTCGGTGTGGGTGCGTGTGGGTGGGTGTGGGTGTTTGCGTGTGTGTGTGTGTGTATATATATATATATATGTATATTTATTTATGCGTTTATTTATATATTTATGTGTTTATACATTTATATACTTAAAAAAGAAACTGTACATATAAATATGCAGGTATATATGTCCATACCTGTCTGTCTCAAAACCTCTATACATCTATAAGTCTAAATCTGTATCTCTGTGTATCTGTATAACTCTACATAATTAACTAACTACATGTCTATATGTCTATACAATATGACTATATGACTGTATGATTATGTAAGAATCTAGATAAACTATGTATCAGTACATCTACATATACCTATACATGCCAAGGTGTATGGATGCATGGTTCTACGGATGTACGAATGGAAAAATGGATGGATGGATGGATGAATTATTTGCCTCCCGCCTGGCTCGGACGAACCTACGTCAATCTGCTTACTTCTGTATATACACAATAATAAAAATAAGAATAATAATAATAATATACATATATATATATATATACACAGTCATGTGTGTATACATGCTACACAACCAGTTGTTATAAGAAACATAACCATGCCGTACGATATCTATGTGTATTACATACATACATACACACATACA